GAACCACTGAACCCGCCGCTACGCAGGCTATGCTTTAGGCCTCGTCCACACGTATCCGGAAATTTTTGTATCCGCAATTTTTTTTTTTTTTTTTTTTTGCGGATACGGGTTGCGTCCACACGTGTCCGTAAATTTTTGTATCCGTATCCGGAAATTTTCGAATACGGTCTCCAGAGTGGAAACTTTTGAATACGCTCCGAATACGGATACGTGTGGACGGTCGTATCCGCAAACTTTCGAATACGATGACGTAAACACGATTTTGCGCATGCTCAATAAACATGCTTAATAATAAAACTATCCGTCAAATGGACGGATCTTGAAATTTCCGGATACGTGTGGACAGTGAAAACGATTCGAAAACGATTAGAATACACTACGTGTGGACGCGAACATTTTCGTATCCGCAAAAACAAATTTGACTGAAAATGAGTGTTATTTCGTTAGATCCATTTTACCAAGGAAACATTTTCTAGACCTCATGATCTCACAAAGTAAACAGAGGCAGGATTTAGAAAAAAATTGAAAGAAAGGAAACCAAGAAAGGAAACCAAGATGAAAGATGAAGGAGAAGATATCCAGTATTTGATAGATACTAGATGCACAGTATTAAGGCATGGCGGTTGGACAGCTCAATTCTACTGGACGTACATCAGAAGTTATTTATGAATGTAAGGAAAACCAGTGTGGTACTAGCATCAGTATTGAGTATGAGACGAGAAATATTACGTACCACTTTAGTTTCATCTTCATCACATTCATCGGAGTTCTTACTGTCCAGTGAGTCACTAGAACGACCTGTCTTTTGCTAGAAGAATTGAAGGTTTATCAACGAAAAGAAAAGTTGCTTTCTTGTTTCTTCGTTGACGACATAGTCGCCATGTTCCGTATGTATGGAAAGGCGAAGTGAGAAAATAAGACTGTTTTGAAAGTACGGTTGAGTGGTGATGTTACAAAGCAAAAAAAGCAAGGATGTTTCCTTCTGTCTTTGTGGACGAGATAATCGCAATGTTCCGTATGGATAGAAAGGCGAAGTGAGAAAACTGATAAGACTGTTTTGAAAGTACGGTTGAGTGGTGATGTTACGAGGCAAAAAAGCAAGGATGTTTTCTTCTGTCTTTGTGGACGAGATAATCGCAATGTTTCGTATGGATAGAAAGGTAAAGTGAGCAAATCACAGTAAAACTGTTTTGAAAGTACGGTTCAGAGACAGAGAGGTGTTATAAAGCGAAAAAATAGCATGTTTTCATCTTTCTCAGTGTACGAGATAGCTGTTATGATTCGTATGGATTTAAAAGCGAATTCAGCAAGTAAAACTTAGAGGTGAGATGAGAGGTGATGCTAGAGTGAATTTTTTTCGAACAAGCTCATATTGAAGTTCCTAGTATATACGAAACACAATTTTTCAAAGCAAAGTTTGGTTACATTTCCAGGTTGTTATAAGTAAAGAGACAAGCCATGCAAAGAAAACAGAAAAGCTGGTTAAGTTAGCGACTCAAACGTACATCCTTACTGACAAGGTAAATTAGAAGAAAGGTTAGGCGAAGTTTAATCGAATAAAAGAAAAAGCATTCAACAATTCTCTTATGTGTAAAAAAATCAGTATCTATCAGAAAATTCGCTCCATATTCATTACTAGTTGACAAATGAGGTAATGGCCAACATGAGTTGAGCAAGGTAAATGACGTATTTGTATAGAATGCAAATGTAAATATGACCCCAACTTCATTATTAGAATATTTTAGATTCATATTTTAAGTAATAATTTCAAATTATAGATTAAGATTGATTTTAACCAATTCAGAAAGATTAAGATAAATATGTTAAATTCCTGTGAAATTATAAGAATATAAATATGCGGGAGAAAACACGTACAAATCTTCGTATACTTTTGATGTAAGACTGCAAGACTGCTAAATGTATAGAAACCCCCTTTTCCCGGAGCCTCGCTCTGCAGGCATAATCTTAGCTTTCCAGGTGATCTGAGAATTTTTTTAGCCAATCAGAATCAAGAAAATGTGCAACACTGAGGTGTCACTGTTCCTCTTGAAATTTTGGATTTCCAGGCCACCAAATGAAAAAAATAACGTTAATGAGTGCTTGATAACAGTGACCACATTATTCAATATTTCTATATCAGTGGCAAGCATGTTTATATCTTTCACTGGTCAATATTTGAAAGCTTCATGAGTGTCTTACCAGTCCCCTCGTCCCCTCTAAAAATCATCCTCTCCATTACAGCACAGGAAGCCCATTAAAAAGTAATTTATGTATGTCATTCTTACATGGTTATCTTGTGCTACAGAAGGCTTGGCGATTGATCCAACGTTACCACTTGTGCTATTCGATCTCCTGAAGTTTACTTTATCGAGTCTTGAGGACAGAAAAAAACATGTTGGTCATCATAGGGGAAGCACGGGTGGCGTAACGGTGAGAGCGCTCGCCTCTCACCAAGGCAACCCGGATTCAAATGTCGAACTTCACGTAAGAGCCCCTTACGGGCAGGGTTGACGTAAAATATAAATATATGTGTCTAAATGCTGAGCGATACTAAAGAATCATTTCTTACTTGTCAGTGCTGTTTGGGGCAGACGAGTAGTGGAATTTCGGCGCATGCTTCTCGTTGAATAATGAAGGGTCTTTTTCGAACTCACGATCAAGATCGAGTCTCCGTAGGCTTCGGGACCCTACAAGCAACAAGGATGAAAATATTATGCATCAGTCTGATTATACTTGTGCCGCTATTTTCAGGTCATGATGAATGTCACAAAGCTAATGGTTGGACCACTCAGCCGCGAAGTGAATTCGCTTTGTTCGTCTCCTTTTTTGTCACATTTAAAACGATGCTTTAATAATGTATGCACAAATATATTTATTATAGTATAATATTGCTATGGTACGATACGACTACTAGCCGAATGAATTGGCATATCGGAATTCGTATTTGAATAGGATTCCCCTTGCACGAAGATACTACCAAGTTAATGCCATACAGCATTGCTGGAGATTAATTTGGATGGTATTTTAGTAGTCTTCTCTGCAGCCGTCATTAGTTTCAGTCCCAGATCCTCACGGGCCCTCACCGAAACTAATGACGGTTGTGAAGGAAACTAGTGTTTTAGGGGCAGGCAGGAAGATGAATAAGAGAAGATGAACAGTTTAACAGCACTTACATGTACCTGAGTCACTTCGCTTGGAGTATCTTCTACTTAGGGTTCTGAAAAAGAACAGTGGTCACTTAGTTAGCATGGGTTAATTAGCTGGTTCGAGTTGGTAATGCAGTGCATCGTGGGACTGTTTTAGGGAACATATTTCCAAGATGGCGTCTATTTCGCCCTTAAAACACTTCACCGTGATGTTTTTTTAGAATTTTGGTTGGGGGATTTTTTTCTCACGCAATGTGATTGGTCTGGAATGCCGTGACGTTTGGAGTGACCGTGTCTGCGTCGTGTTCATGCCGTGTTTTGGTATTTCATTAAATGGACATTAAATTCTCGTGTTATGTGATCTGGCGTATGCCTTGCCGTGTCACGACCGTGTTCGTGCCGTGAGCTTTTCACAGTCATACGAAAACTTCTCTCTCCTTGGCATGCATGTGACGTCATAAGCGCCATTTTGGTTGACTTTGATAAAATATTTGGTCTTGGTGTCCTTTGCCATGTCAACCAACATGGCGGCCACGTCTTTTGTCCTTTTATTCTCAAAGGAAGGGTGCATGCCATCGATTAACTAATCATTTGCTTCTTTGAAGTTGGAAATGTTACCTTACGATCTTTGGCTCAGGTCGTACGTGATTCCGACTTTCTTCTATCGCTTGGTACTCTGTTTTACCCCTGAACAGTGCAATAACTGATGTTAAAAACCTTGTATTCAAAAACGCTTTACCGGTGATAAATGACAAAGTTCTTACTTGAATCTGTATTTAGAGCCCATTCTGAATAACCTCCTGTTGTTGGTTGGCTTCGGACAATGGGTCCTAGGAAAAGATGTAAAACATGTTTACTGCGGTTTTCAATATTCTGAGAACTCTGTAGTTATAAGCTACACGCTGAAATTTGGTTTGTTGGAAATTCGTTTGCTAATGATAAGAAAAGAGCGGGAATTTTCACTTCTAACATATGGTACACGCGTCTACAGGAAGAACCGAAAAGAGCGGGAAAAGTGGATTACATCAATCGGAAGACTGAGTTTTCCGGAAATTTTCGATCGGAATGACATATACCATTTGTTTTTTCCAACAGGAATTTCCGGTTTTTTTTCCGGGTTAAATGGTAAGCATTGCCTATATTCCCTAGTGCTGCATGTCGCTCGGTGATTGGTTCAGAGGAAAGGCAATAGCAAGTCACCGCGATTAATTTCACGTGTTATAGAAAATGTCCAATCGTTACAGTATGATGTGAACGGTTTGATATAACAAAAGAATTGAACAAATAAATAAAAAAAAAGCAAAGCAAGCACATAAAAAATAAAACATAAAGATAAAAAAAAGTAAACGCAACACAAAAAACAATATCAAACAAAGCAAGCAACGGTAACAAACAAACAAAAAGAGGAAAATTAAGAAAGTAAAAACAAACAATTTACATACAAAAAAAATCAGCAAGCAAAACACAAAAACAACCAAACAAAACAAAACAAACAAAGTAGACTAGCAAACAAGACAAGCTTACTACTGTAACAAACCAAATATATATAAAGTAAACAGGAAAACAAACAAGTATGAAAAAACAGGAAACAAGCAACACTGCAAGCAAGGAAACAAATAAGCAATCAACGAATAAACAAACAAATAAACAAACAGACAGACAATTAAACAAACAGACAGACAGACAAACAGACAAATAGACGAACGAAGCATCTTCTTTTACCTGTAAAACGAATGGTACTCCACACAGGTTTTCCACATGTTCTTAGTCGCTCTGTACGTCGGCATCTGGAAGGCTATAACATTATCTTTCCATTCGTTCTGCAAGAGATGTCAGATAAAAAGAATTAGAGGCCAAGAACAGCATGCGACGTTTCTTGGCACAAGAAAATCAAAGGATAAGGGAAGGTACGGTCATCATTGGGGGAGAGCTTGGGAATTCTCAGTAAATTAAGGGGGGAGGGCTGGGGAATTCATAGTAAATTTTAAAAAGTGGTTGTAGCCCTCTCCTTTTCACTCATTAAGAACTTTCTATTAAGTCAACAAGAAAACCGCCTCCCGTCTCTCCTCGCGTCTTAAAATAACTGAGGAGAAGGTGCTGCCTTTGTAATTACATCTGCAAATGGTTAGACCTTCACGTGGCTCGGATGACCACGCTAATGGCGGTCTCGTCCCTAATTAACTAGAGACGTTAAMAGAGGACCACAAGTTTATCAGTTGAATTACTGTCCAGTGTTATCCTCTATAAACAAAGTTCATTAAACAGGTTTTTTTGGTTAAATAAAAAGGTTTGAGACTCCCCAAAAGTTCTTTTACTGTTGCTCCTTCAATCTGAAGCCCCCTCACTAAAAAAAGCAGAAAGATCGAACAGACCTTTATATATGATGTACAACTTACCCAATCGGGACGAATTTGGATGTAAAATCGTTTTCTTTTGAAGCAAACCTTGATAATTTTTGACCTGATAAAGAATGGCTGATATTATTAAATGTAAAAAATCCAATTGATTTTCAATTTCACGGATGGATTTGAAATGGTTTACGAGGCAGATTATATTTTTTTACAATGATTTGCGACATGGGTTCAAGCTGTCATGGTGGATACACAGCTAAAAACGTGAGGATTTAGAATTAGTTCTTTTGCGTTGTTTTTGTTATTAAAGCTTCAAAACTGTTGTTTCGAGCCCTCTGAACAAATCAGTTACTGCGATTCCCAGTCACACGCGACCAAGTGAGAACAAAATCACAAACGAAAAATTGAGTTTTGGTGGACGTCAATCAAAAGGGTTTCTTAAACATGTCTAAGGATTCCGACTCCGAATTTCAAACGTTTAAACTGCAAACTATCAGTATTTACTTGTCCTATCTTGAAGAAACTCAAATCATATCCATAGCGATAGCTTTGCAATCAAGCGTTAAGATTCGCAGCCGGAATCCTGTGACATTTTTGAGAAAATATATCCAGAGTGAGAAATTCACAGCGACAAGAAGCATGAGATAAGGACAACGATTTTTGCACATTTGCATGTGTTCACGTGAGTATTCAGATCAGTCCTGGTGTAGAAACCAATAGAAACGATAGAAACCCTTTTGATTGACGTCCACCCAAATTCAATTTTTCGTTTGTGTTGAAGGTCTAGTTGGTCGCGTGTGACTGGGAATCGCAGTAAAGGGGCACTTAGATGAAAATGGATAAAAATTGCAAATGACTTTAAACTTAATTAAACGTATCTATATGGCCCCAATCGTAGCCAAGCAACATATTTTCTACACAGTAAAATGTCTCAGATAGAAATTATCAATTTCATTTAGCATATAAATTGTGAGTAAATGACGTCATTTACTCAAAATTTGTCATCTGCAAGTGGCTCCCAGGCGAAAATTTTCACTAATCTGGTTTACATAATCATAATTGAGTCATATTATCCTCAAATACTTCAATTATTTGGACTTTGAAAAATTGGGGCGTTTTCATCCAAGTGCCCCTTTAAGGCACACATACCAAAAGAAAAAAAAGGTAAAAAAGGTTTCAAGAACGAAAGGTATTGATGGACGCGCTGTCTATGCATAAAATTAATAATGACTTTCAGTTGAAGGAATCTAGAACCAGCTTGCAATAGATATCCCCACAGCCCAAATGAAACCTGTTTCCCATTAGGAAAACTAATACCTAAGACTGACTTACCAAGGGAAAAAATTGATTTTACATTTATTGTGATAGACAGTCAGCCCGAGAGCCGAAACACCAATGAATAGTTCAGTACCCTGATTGTCCTGGTTAAGGAATGAAATCAGTGGTTAATATAACTGCACTAAGACGTTCAGCTGGCTTTACTTCCTGCTTCCCCTTACTTTCCTGCTATAAAGTCTCCTCCTCCCCAACTCGTAGCCCTTGTCCTTTGACCTGACTCACTCCTGAGCCCCCTCCTTCCCTATGAGTGCCCTCTCCTGCTACAGAGTCCCCCTCCTCCACCACTCTTAGGCCTTGCCCTCCGACCTGACTCACTCCTCATAAGCCCCCTCCTTTCCTATGAGTACCCTCTCCTGCTATAGAGCCCCCCTCCTCAACCACTCTTAACCCTTGTCCTTTGACCTGACTCACTCCTCATAAGCCCCCTCTTTCGCTATGAGTGCCCTGTCCAGATATAGAGTCCCCCCCATCCACCATTCCTAGCCCTTGCCCTCTGACCTGACTCACTCTTTATGAGACACCTCCCTGCCCAAGAGTTCCCATTTCTGCTATAGAGTCCCCCTCCCCCACCACTCCTAGCCCTTGCCCTTTGACCTGACTCACCCTTCATGAGACACCACCCTGCCCAAGAGTTCCCTTTTCTGCTATAGAGTCCCCCTCCTCCACCACTCCTAGCCCTTGCCCTTTGACCTGACTCACCCTTCATGAGACACCTCCCTGCCCAAGAGTTCCCTTTTCTGCTATAGAGTAGAACTGTATGGAACTAACCTGTGCACAGTGTAAGTTAACTCCATAAAGATCTAGATTCTTTGCTACTTCAAGAAAATTAAATTCAGCATCAGCTGGAGTTTGCCCTCTAAAATAAGAACAAAAACATGTAACTCTGACAAAAAGTGGGAATTTTATGCTAGTCTTTTGAGAATGAACACTCACATTAAACCTTAATCACCGATGCAATTACATCAATTACTTCCTAGGGTGCAATCACGACTCAAAACAACAATGAAGCAGCAGCCATGTTGGTTGATCTAATGAGACAAGCTCATTGTCAACCAACATGGTGGCCATATATGATATAGCATAAGAATATATAAAATCACAATCATCATTAATTTTCATTACAGGATAACCATCATCATCGCTATTATCACCAAATAGAAATTATGCTGTCGCTAAATCAGGGATTCTACAGTACAACAAGGCTGGGATAACATGCTGCTTATAATTACTATCGTGTTGAAATACATGTACATGTCATTAAGATAAGCATGGTCTCTTTAGTTAAGTTTAAGGTCCAAAAAGCATTGAATATTTTTTGGAGGGAGGTCAAAGTGGAATCTCCACCCAACCTAGACCAGGACTTAACAGCCTCCTAATGCTTACATGTGTATACACTGTACAATGCAACAGCAATAATATTAGAAAGATAACGAATGAATGATAAAAAAGTGGTAAGACTTACACGTGATGTTTATGGAATTCACTAGCTCTCTCTTCAAAGTCGTCAGTCTGTAACATCAAAATGTATAACTCATTAGTAACGAGAAATGTCTGGAATGACGGGCAGGGCAGGACAGACAGGATGTCTGGAGGAAATAATGTTGTGGTTTGTTCATTTCCTTCAAACTTGATGGGAAATAAAGATATAGTTTTTGGGCAACAATTGTTGGTAATTACTAATCAGATTTCATTCRTTAAATGACAACTTAAAAACTACTTGAAAGACAGGCTACATGATATTCTTAATCTTAGTCTGACATTACCCAGCTATAGTAATGTGAGATTCATTAACAAAACCTTCACATTTTATTGAACCCTGGAACATCCTCTGGGCTTATCAGAGTCAGGGCATGGCTAATTCACAGATAGAATCCTAAAACATTAGCTCTGAGCTAATCTAAGTCATGGTTTATTCTTATTCAAATTGCATCTGTACTAAGAATTAATGTAACAAACTAATAAATGTTCAATCAGTCGAGTTTTGTTTTGTTTTTCAATAATATTGCCTATTAATAGCTAAAAACAAATTGCATCTGTACTAAAAATTACATGTAACGTAACAAACTAATCTCTATCCAAACTTATCCTAAGAATRCTACAAAAAAACAMAAAACACAACTTGCCTGAACATTGCAGCATGAGTAATAAAGTCTATGAATGTGACAACTCACGATTATTGTGATAAGATCTGAGGGTTAAAATTGCACTCTACCTGGTCAGGAATGAATCTGAACTCCCCCACATAGCCATCAAGATGAAGCTTTGGATCATAATCACCAAGCTCAGCTGGAACAATAAAAGATACATCAAATAAATGATATTTTCCTTCTAATTAATCCATCCATCCATACTTTCATTTATTACTTTATCCATCCATCCATCCCTTCATTTACTCATTCATCCATTTACGTCTATCCATTCCAGTGGACTACACTGTAAACTAGCAGTTACTGTATATAGCTAAGTGTAAAGTATCTTAAGTCGTTTTATGAGGGCAGCACTTGATAAACAGTAGGTAACAAACATATGGCTCCCATTACTATACCAGATTGGAATTTAGAAGTATAAAAATAACCATAAATCATGTGTAATTTTATAAAAGTACACTGTAATGTATAACTTACAGACGTAATCAATATTTTATTTTAAGACATTGTAAATGAAATATATTTTATATTTTATATTAGCACTATATTGCATATACATTATAGACATATCTTATTCATATTCCATCATAATTTCACTTAATTTATTTTCTTATTTATTTTATTTTATTTTGTGGCAGTACCTGCAAATTAGCAAAAATATCTTTATATTGAGCTAAGTGTATTGTATTTTATTGCAATACATGTACCTTGAAGTATATATGAAGCCAATTCTGCTGCAGTATCATAAAAGCAGGGTAACCTGAGAAGTACATGTAAATCCTATATCAGATAAGGCATTGTATATCATCAAATATCTACCAATTTATTCATGAAAGCAGATATGAATCTTAACCCACAACATACCACCAGTACAAAAAATGTACCGTAGCTTGAACCGTAATCTAGGAAACATTTTAAAGAAAACATGACATTCATGAAGCTGTGAGCTATGACAACCAAACATGTACAGTATCAATTATTGTTTTAATGATATCTCTGTCACTTAAAAAGTATGTGAAGTATATACGTATAGGAAACCACAAGGCGAACTTAATATCAAATGAAAATTTAACTGAGTCCTGGAACTAAGTGGCTGGTACATGTACATAGAAGAGATAACTAGCTTAAAACTAGTGTGGGTTGCGTGCATCGGTGTTTCTAATGAAGCAGTAATGATAAAAGGGTAAATTTTTACACCGTGAAAAGATGAAAAATTTACTGTCATTTCGGATGCTAGTCCTTCGACGCTAAGTTTTTTCAGTTTTTTCATCTTTTCACGGTGTAAAAATTTACCCTTGTATATCATAGCTGGTACATAGGTTAATTCACCTGATGTCTGATCATAAATGATACATCATACGACATTAAATTTCCTGCATGTATTCAATTAAATATGATAATAAKAAGAATTGTTTATTTTACCTCCCAGTGAGTAGGTCTCTTTTGATTTGCTGATAAAAATAATATCTACAACAAAAAATATTGAAAATTAATTCATGTGCTTCATTTCATCATACCGTACAGTATGTATCATACTATGCACATGACATTTATTAAATAATGAAATTACTTTAATCCTTAAATTATTTACAAATCAAATTTCATATATAATAATCGTATAGAATTTAATAATTAACGATTATAATAAGATACAAGATGATAAACAATATAAAAAATTGATAACTGGAAATCCATCTAAGCACAGAAGAGAACCAACGAGTCAAGGAATTGATCTGGATGCCCTTGAGTCAATATGTCAATTTATTTTATACTTGCTGACTAGTTATTTATTATTATTAATTTTCCATATCTTGTAATGCCCCATATAACCCTCTGGCTTGGGCCTCATCAATCATTGTATTACATACATAGAGGATATTACATGGGCRCGAGGAGATACGAATTTTATCTTCAAGTGTTGAAAAGATCTTTCACGAGTGAGCGTAGCGAACGAGTGAGAGATTTTCAACACGAGAAGATAAAATTTGTATCTCCAAACACCCATGTAATATTCTGTTTATTATATGATTATCAATGAACTATGTTTTGGCTTTTTCAGCCAATTCTTTCCGTGTATTTTTGAATAGCCATCGCAATGGTGTTATTTTCACATGTGAAGATATCAATTTTTCGAAATAGAGAAAAATAGATATTTCATCGGTAATTATATAATAAACTATTTTCTTACATTGTTGAATAAAATGAATTGAATTGATTTATTATTAGGTACCTTGTGAGATCCTCAGTCAGTTTTGCAGGGTCTGACACAAAAAACCTTACACCATAATAGAAAATATAAGGAGGTGGGCCTAAAGAGAGAAAAAGAAAAAAAGTCACGATAACGAATGTAACGAGTGCTCGACACTAAAGGAGATGTTATGCGAGATGATTTTTAGTGCTACAATATTGCGTTAAAAGTTGGCCTCAAGTAACATTGTGCGCAAGACAACACAAAACAGATAGCRTCAATAATTTGACTCTTGAAGATCGTTAATGCAACATGTTGCAGCAACGAAATACCATTAATTAAAATATATAAACCACACACCATATTTTCGTGGTACAAAAAACAATATATTTTCAAGTGTTCAACATTATTGAGATACTAGAATGTGATTGGCTAATTTGTGGAAACTTTCTTTGGGCACAGTAGACTAAACAAAAAATACCAAATACATGAATAAAAGATTGTCCAAAAAATTCATGGCCATGCAAAACTACGTACACTGTAGCTTAATTTGGTCAAAACAGGTTTTAAAATTTTATGGGAGTTTAATTGACATTAATTTTATCTACCTTTTCGTTGCTTTCTTATCAATTTTTCTTCTCTTAACCAAACCTGAAGCAATATATTACGGGTATAAAGTAAGAACGAGTAGGGGTCAACCATTACTTAGTACAATTTTTTAACAACAAGAAGTCTGTGACTGTACACATATGTAAGTCTAGCATATTCAAGTTAGAACAAATTCTTATAATGATTACRGTACATCCTTAAAAAATAAAAATGTAATACAAATTATTAAATTATATAAAAATTATTACTAAAACAAGTTAAAATTTATTTTTGAACTTTTGCATTTTTTCATTTTGACATAAATTTATGTCGAGCAACAAATATTTCTCATGGTGTAGCATTTCATGATGGACGTAAATTCATGTCGAGCAACTAGTCTAGCATTTTATGATGGACATAAATTTATGTCCA